GGTTGGTTGATGGCTTAATTAATTAATCAACTTACTGTTTCAAAAATCTAGACTAGTCTGGAAGCTGAAGTCTGGGACATGTGTGACCCCGTGGGCTTTGGACACAAGGGGCATTCCGTTTTGCTGACTGAACTTCTGCAAGGAGCCCTTAGGAGTTAAAAGCTGATGAAGTATAGGAGCTTGGTGGAATCGCTCTGCTGGGGTGCAGCTGGCATTGTTTGGCTCAGGGTTTTGGGCCTTCTCCTTCTGGAATGGCTCTTCTCCCACACACGCCATCAAGAACTCACGTGTCCAGGTCACTGCTGAGTTTGCATTACCTTCTGAAGATGAGACCTTGTGTATCTGTCTTCCTGAAGTGTTTCATAATGAACCAATATAGTTTACAGAAAGTTAACGGGACACAATATTGATTAGTTAGAAACAGTATCCAACCTTTTCATTATATCTGCTTATTGGTCTTATATTTTGACTATATTCATTGTCATCAGTGGATATTCATTACCCAGATAATAGGTCTTCAGAAAGCTGAAATAGTACTGGTAAAAAAAAAAAGTCACTTGAGATTTTTTTTTTTTAACCTAAAGGGAATATTACCGAAGTATTGCTTCATCCATATTGTCCGTGTGGAAGTTAAGGCACAGAACTTAACTCCCTGTAGGCTGCCACAGTTAAGTCCCAAAATTAGCTCACCCTGTGTCTCTGAGACAATGTGAACCCTCTGCCTGTTGCTAGTTTTTGGCATGATATTGCTACCAATTTCCCTCTTTAGGAAACTGTATTCCATCATTGCTGTTGGCAACATCTATTCTGCCTTCCTCCCAAATTGGCTTTTACTAAAGGTTCTTCTTGTAGCTTAGAGTTTAGGGGTGGCGTCGTGAACTTCCCAGCTCCGATTTCTTTCTCGCTCGGCAGCTTCACGAGGGACCTTCTCCTTGGCTCCCGTGTAGCACCCTGCACACGCTGTGGTTTGTCGAGCTTGCATGGGAGCCACGCCCTCCGTCCTCGTGGTGCCTCTGCCCCGTCTGTGTGTGTCCATGCTGAGCATTCTTGGGAGCGCGCCTCCCTTGCCAGCTGGAAGAGCTGCACTTTCGGGGCTGCAAAGGTGATGAGAAGGAAGAGACACTAAAATCTGATGGGTGAATGGGGAGGTGGGCAGTGCCTCTGGTTTGATGAGCAGAGTGCTCCCCTTTTGTTCATATCCCCTGCCCGCCGCCAGGGTTGATTGTTCCTGGCGAGTGCCTGGCCCGGTTGTGCCAGTCTGCCTCCTCCTCCAGCAATTTGGGGTGAGGTCTAAGGGTTGGCTCATCTTTAGGTGCCTGGTCAGGGGATGTCAGGCCCTGGTGCTCCCGGTGGCTTTGCCTTCTGCCCTGTGGACGTTCGGGAGCCAGGGTGGAGTGAGAAAGAGAGAAATAGAGCAGGTGTGGAGAGCGGTGGCCAGCTGAGGGTGGGAGCCTGTGTCTGGGGCTTGGCAGCCCCATAGCCCAACGTAGCTCCTACCCCTTAGTGCTGAGACACCCCAGGCTCCTCAGGCTCAATTTCCCTTTACTGGCGCTAGTTGGAGTCTGGCATCTGAGCTGCTGCACACTCTGCTGTCACTGTGTGGAGTGCACGGGCTGTGTCCTTCTGACAGCTGGCCCGGACCCTGGCTGTTCTCACCACAATCAGTGCTTGGTTCCAGCCCTGTCCCCGCCGTTCTGCCTGGCACTGCGCCGGCTACCCGGGTGAGCCAACCAGAGTCTCACCGTGAACGTCTGGGCATGGTGTTCACGACCCAGGTGTAACCCCGCCATGCTCTCTCGTGCTTGTGCATGCTGGAGTCTGCTCTGCCACCCTCCCTGCCCCACCCCCGGTGCGCCTTTCAGTCTGCACAGGCCTCCTAAGGCCCCGACTGGGCGGCGGCTCCCACTTCCTCCTCTTGTGCTCCTGGCGCCTTCCTGCTTGGTCCCTGTGCGGGAGGCATGCCTTCCAAGTGTCCCCGCACCGCAGGAATGCAATTAACATTTCCTGCCTGGAGCAGAATTAGCCCTTCAGCTCACTGTGGAGAGGGGATCAGTAAGTCACCCTTGGCACGTACGGCAGTAGAGCAGATCGTTTACCAGGGAGATTGTAAAACAAAAGCCCCAGCTTTCCCTAAAGAGACATCCTTTGGCCTCCTGAAAGTCACTGGATTGTGGGGATGAAAGTGGTGGGCCAGGGTGGGCAGGGACCTGGGCACAGGTGAGCTGGGCTGTGGGCACACAGGAGGCTCTCTATAAACCAGAGAAGGCGCCCAGCAGCAGCCATCTGCCTGAGGGCTGGGAGGGAGCAGCCAGGTCCGCTACATGGCCACAGCCAGCCTGCCAGTGCTCCTTGTCCAAGCGATGCCTCGGAGAGCACCTCCAACCATCACTGATCACCATGGCTGTTCTTCTCCCAGCTCTCAGTGAGGCCCAGGTGCCACCCCAGCCCTAACCCCTTGCTTGTGCCCAGATGTGATGGAGACACACCCCACGTGCCTGCCCCGATGGAGACACACCCCACGTGCCTGCCCAGATGGAGACACACCCCACGTGCCTGCCCAGATGGAGACACACCCCACGTGCCTGCCCCGATGGAGACACACCCCACGTGCCTGCCCAGATGGAGACACACCCCACGTGCCTGCCCAGATGGAGACACACCCCACGTGCCTGCCCAGATGGAGACACACCCCACGTGCCTGCCCAGATGGAGACACACCCCACGTGCCTGCCCAGATGGAGACATACCCCACGTGCCTGCCCCGATGGAGACACACCCCCATGCCTGCCCAGATGGAGACACACCCCACGTGCCTGCCCAGATGGAGACACACCCCACGTGCCTGCCCAGATGGAGACACACCCCACGTGCCTGCCCAGATGGAGACACACCCCCATGCCTGCCCAGATGGAGACACACTCCATGTGCCTGCCCCGATGGAGACACACCCCCATGCCTGCCCAGATGGAGACACACCCCACGTGCCTGCCCAGATGGAGACACACCCCACGTGCCTGCCCCGATGGAGACACACCCCCATGCCTGCCCAGATGGAGACACACTCCACATGCCTGCCCCGATGGAGACACACCCTACATGCCTGCCCCGATGGAGACACACCCCCGTGCCTGCCCCTATGGAGACACACCCCCGTGCCGACCCTGATAGAGACACACCCCCGTGCCGGCCCCGATGGAGACATACCCCCGTGCCTGCCCAGATGCAGACACAGTCCTGTCACCTCTGCTCAGATGCAGACACAGCCCTGTCACTTCTGCTGAGATGCGGACACACCTACGTCCTCTGCTCAGATGTGGACAGACACCCCCCACAGCTTCCCAGATGTAGACAGACACCCATGTCACCTCTGCCCAGATGTGGACACACCCCCATGGCTGCCCAGGTGCAGACACAACCTGACTTCTGCCCAGATGTGGAGTCATGAGTACCCTGTTCCCCCAGTGAGTGTCTTGCGTCCCCACCTTCTCTTGGCCTCCTCTCACCGCCGTAAGGCTCTGTCAGGATGGTGGCTTTCAGTTTCCAAAAACTTTTCCTGAAGTATCAGAGTAGGCGTTGGGAATGGGAGATGGAGCTGCGGTTCTTCCTGGGCCCGAGGCCCCTTGCCCCTGACTGAGCACAGCGTCTGCCTCTCTTACTGATGACTGTCCCTCTCGGCTTCTGACCAGGACTGCTTGGGGTTCTCGTCTCTCTCACAGCCCTTGTGCATAGGACTGCAGGGACCAGGTCTTGTGGCTCAGGCCTCCCAGTGGCCACCTCTGAAGGGATGCCTCTTGCTGGGAGGGCCCCGGAGCTCTGCAGCCAGTGCGCTTTCCTGGAAAGCCCTGTACCTGTGGCTGAGACAGTGCCCTGTTTCTCACTGGGAGCCGCTTGTCTTTCCCTTCTGCCTGGCGGTTTCCAAGCACAGCCCCTGCCTGTCTCTGCAGCGGGCACTCACTCTGTAGGGACCTCCAGGCCTTGTTCACCCTGAGCCTAGATGCCCACCCTGCCCCTGCCCAGCAAAGCCCCTCAGTAAATCTTGTGCGATGGTGAACAAATTCCGGCACCAGCTCGGTCACTGGCCTCTCACGGCCTGTCTGGCAGCTTGTTCAGACCTGTTCTTGGCCCGGCCCGGCCCTGCCCACCTCACCAGCCACCTGCCTCAAGCCTCTCTCAGAGGGCTCCGAAGAGCACAGCTGATTTGAAAGTTAAAGGAATTAGTGGTGGGAACTGTGTCCCTCAGGAGGAGTTGGGGGCAGGTGTGACAGAGGACCCTGGGGCAGACCTGGACCCTTCCTGCCTTCAGCACTTATCCTGTGCACTGACATTCAAACCCGAAATGGACACAGCCATGCAGCCAGCACGCACGACCCCCATGCATGAAATCCCAGGAGGGCAGAGGAACCAGATGGGGATCTTCTCCCAGGCTCACGACCAGGCCACACCCTCTGTTAGGCAGGAGGGGGTTTTAGCTCTAACACCAGCCCCAGAGGGCCCTGCTGAGGTCGTGGTCAGCTCAGTGGCTTGGGGCGGTCTGATTGACTTCCAGGTGAAGGCCGCGTGGGCCTGGAGATGGAGGGGGGGAAGGGGTGTGCCCTGAACACAGTGTTTGATCGAACGGAGCATTTGTCCCGTGTTATTGGGGAACTGGTCAGGTGGACTTGACGCGTTATGCCTCTTTCTTGGGGAAAGCCAGGTGTTTTGAGTTATTTTGTGTTGTGTTCTTCAAGCTGGCGTTGACTGTCCGTAATCACGTACTTGCTGCCCTTTAGTAGAGCCCTGTTAATATGCTTTCTGTTTTTTGCTGTGCTCAGTTTTATAGGTTTTCCCAAGGAAGGTTCAAACATGGTTGCTGTTTAAGAAAAGGAAACAAAGAGCTTCCTAATTATTCTCAGCAGCTATTTCCCTAGTACTCTTGACTGTAGGATATCCTCTCGAATTTTCTGAGCAGACTTCAACTCTTCTTCCTTTCTTCTTCCTTTAAAACATGCTGACACTCGCAGCTGGCCAGCTCAGCCTCTCTGGAAGGGAAGGGACAGCTGAGGTTCACCTCAGGGCGGTGGAGCCCGCACCACAACTGCACCCAGGTGGCCACAGCCAGCGACACCACCCTCCGTGGCTGGGACACCCGGAGCATGAGGTCAGTGAGCCCACCCTGCGCAGGCCCGCGGCCCACTTCCTTCCCCGTCACCCAGCAGGACCCGGGTGATGGTGGAGGTGGTCACGAGCCAGGTGCATTTGGGGCGTGTGGTTTGTTTGCCTTCATCTTGTTTTTGCAGGAAATCATAAATCTTCATCTCGTTTCTTCACCCTAAATTAAGCTAGCACGTCCACTGCGGTGGAACCGGCGCGCCTCGGCAGCTGTTTGCTGTTCCATCTTGGTATCTGCATTAGCAGCGGTCTGTGGTGAAGACCACGAATTGGGGTTTCGTAGCCCTGAGGGAGATGGGACCACAGGGTGCCCGTCTCTGATGAGCTGCTGCAGCCTGACGGGGACAGTCCCAGGTTCAGTCTCTCCTGGGGCCATCTCTGGCCATGGCTGTGCCTTCCAGACGCACCTATAGGGCCATCATATTTTGTCATTTAAGTAATTATACACAACAGCCAGCAGCTCTCATGGAACAAATAAGAGCGAGTTTTCCGTTCCAGTTGTGATTTTGATAGGCAAAGGAGTGATGGTAGAACGGATGTTGCCGTGGCAACGGAAGCCCGCACAAGCTTTTTAAGATCCAGTTTATCCCTCAGCCACCGGAATTTATCACCGAGCTGAGAAGACGGATGTCATGCAATAACTCGTGTTGATTCCAGGGTGGAGGCACAGCTTCAGACTGGGTTCTGGGGCCCCTCTAGACACTCAGGGCTAATAAATAATCAGTCGCCATGTCCTCCCTCGTGCACATCTGTGCAGAGGGCTTGTTTGGTTTCCTGAGCAGAGCTGGAAACCACAGGCTCGGTTCATGATGAACGTTCAGCTGAATCCGTTTTTCCATGTCCTTTGGTCATCGTGTCCTTAAGTCTGGATTGTTCTTTGAAGGATGTGAAGAATTTCAGTATCTGAAGACAAGAAACTCAAAGGCTGATGTTACAGACCAAGCCAGCAAACAAAAAGATACCCGTGGCTTTGGTGGGCAACGCCTGGTGGTCGCCTCCTTTCGCCTCGTTGTGTCTGTGGTGAGGACGTGCCAGCACAGCACAGAGGGTCCCGACGCCTTCTCATTGACTGTCATTTCTTCTTTGGCACACAGCTTTCGTTTGCATGGAGCCAGGATGCCTTTGGTGCTTTTTTAGGTGGTGTGATGCTTTTAAGTGACAGTTTCTGGCACCGGAGCAGGCAGGAACCTGTAGTCAACACTTTGTGCATGTGCGACCGGCCATCCAGCTCCCTGGCAATCTGCCAAGTTTTTAATTTTCTACCTTTGCCTGTTTCCCTTGAAAGATTTAAAGGTTTAGCTATTATATTTTAGGGAAGAAATACTAAGATATTGAAAAGGTGCAGGCTATAAAAACCAGAAGACTTAAAAGTGGTTTAGGCTGGGGGTTCTAATGTGAGAGAACAAAGATGAAAGGAATTGAGCTCATCTACCTTGGGGAGCAGAGAGCAATGATGGTCCGCAGATGCGTGAAGCAAATCACAGGGCACACAGTTCCCCATCGCTCGTCAGCGCCTCTGAAGCCTGGGGGTGAGGAGGTGAATGACTCAGGAGTAATTTCAGTCCTGCCCACGGGAGCGCTGGGGAGGCCGTGCAGGCAGGAGCCGCCGGGGAGTGCCGGGCTGTGGGCCCTTTGCTGTCCTGGGTGCAACCTTTATTCCAAACCACTGTCCAGCCTCACTGGATGCCCCGCCCTCCAGGATTCACGGCATCAGAGGCCACGGTAGGCAGGACACAATGACTTCAGCCCCTATGGAGCAGCCACGGGCTCTGAGGGCCAGGGCTCACCGAGGCGTGAGTGTGTATGTGCGCATGTCTGCCCTCTCACGCGTGGATGTGTGCATGTGTGTGTACCTCCATGTGGGCGTGCGCACAGATGCACGCGTGCATGTCTGAGTGAGAGAACACATGCACGTGAACAACCGTGTGACTCATTTGAAACAGTCCCTTACCCCGCCCCCCGAGGGAAGGGGTTGCCCTGGCCTCCACCAGTGTCGTCCCCGGAGCTGGTGTGGACGGTTGAAGGGCAAGAGCGCAGCTGGCATGGACACTGGCCCTTCGCATTTCCACGGCCTTGCAGCTGCTCCTCCCTGTCTCTCTCCATAGAGACAGACAGATAACTGTGTGCGTGTGTGTGTGTGTGTGTGTGTGTGTGTGCGCGCGCGTAATTTCCCAACACTATGTTCTACCTTCACTGCCTGTCTTTTTCTTCTTGTCTTTCCTCACTGCACCCTTCCAGAATTTGCCAGGCGTCCTGTCCAAAGTCTGCTTCCGCGTCCCTGTGGCAGTTGCAGCTCCTCTGGCAGGCTCTCATTCTCGATACCAAGTCAGATTTTTGACTGTCGCAAAGCAAAATCTCTTCCCCAGCTCGCCGGGGGTCACAGATACACTCCTGGAAACGGCGTGCCGTGACCACGTGGGGTGACTGGGACAGAGGTGCCAGCGGCAGCCGCCTCCTGCAGGGGAGGAATGTGGAGGGGCCAGGGCACCCTGGGCCAGGGATTATACGGGATCTCGGGAAGGCAGTGCGCGCCCGCAGCACTCCGTGGCTCTTCAGAATTCGATTCACATCTCCCTGTGTCCTTTCTCCTTCTCCCTCAGCCAGATCTACTGCATAGAGAATGCCCACGGACAGCTGGTGCGGGACCTGGACTTCAATCCCAATAAGCAGTACTACTTGGCCAGCTGCGGAGACGACTGCAAGGTGAAGTTCTGGGACACCCGAAATGTCACCGAGCCCGTGAAGACCCTGGAGGAGCACTCCCACTGGTAGGGCCGCTCCGGCGTGGCTGCAGGGGTGAGGGGATGGATCGTGCAGTTTATTTTGCTAATTACTTCACACACCAGCTCAGTGTGTGCCGCTATGAATCATTCAATCAACCCAGTTTTATTTTTCCTAAAGAAACACTAATTCCAAATCTGAATGTTTGTGATTTATAAACATAGGAAAAGAAAAAAAACCATTAAATTCTGTTTTCTCTTGAAACAGTGCTGGTTCAAGTGTGCAAAAATGAATGTGCACAGATGTTGATGCGGCATTGTTTGTAATGCCAGGAACCTGGAAACCACTCAAAGGTCCCCGCTCGGGGACTGGTTAAGTAAATTAGGTGACATCCGTGCAGCTGCCAGGAGAATGTGGATGTGGAAGGTGCCCGAGACCACTCATTCCCCCTCACGTATTACTTGAATGTTTCTCATGTGCTAGGTACTTTTTGCTAAGTCTGTAAAAAGACCGAGTTGTAGAATGGCATGTATAGCATGAATCCATTTTTATGCAAATAAAGTGTGTGTGAGTGACACGCACATGGGTGTACACACGTGTGAGTGACACACACAGTGTGGAGGAAATGCCTGACAGAGTCAGAGCCAGAATCTCATCAGGGATCCTCCGCACTCAGAGAGGGCCTTCGCCTGCTGTGGGCTGCATCCTGAGTCGGCTGAGTTCCTCATCCAAAGTTTTCGCAGTCAGAAAGGAAAGCCCCAGATTACTAGCGCACAGTTTCGATGAATCCAGGGACGCGCTGGCGTTCCCTGTGGGCCGACTGGCCGGGCCTCCCTGTGCCCCTGGCTGTGCTGGGCGCTCCTCCTGGTGTCAGGAGCCCCGCCTTGTCTCCCACCCGGGCCGTGGACTTTGTTTTGGCCTCAGCATGGCTGAGAGGCAGAAGCTCCGAGGCTTTAGGACCCGTGTCAGAAAGAAAGCTGATCCCAGTAGCCAAAACCAAGGAGAGCCCCTTGTGTCCCGGGAGGCTGCCATGCCCTGGTGTCAGGACCCACAGTCCCTGGTCACTGCCCACGGGGAAGACGCCGTAGACTTGTTTGCTGTTACAGGATATCACTGATCCACATGCCGCTCCTGGCAGGTGCTTTTTCTTAGAATTTTAGGAGCTTGTGTGGAACACTGGGGGCTAAGCCTTCTCCTGCAGGTTCAGCCAGCACTTGGTCTTCCCTGTCTGTCTGCTGGCACCGAAGAAAACCCACAGTAAACCCAGCCTCAGCGGAAAACCGCCTTGTGTCAGGCCCTGTGACTGGGGGCCGATTGCCTGGCAGTGCCTAATGTGGGCCCCAGTCTCGGGGGCCTGAGCCGGCACGGCGCGTTGCTGATGCTGCCTGCGGGTGACGGGTCCTCTCAGTAGCTGCCTTGCCCTTTGCAGGGTGTGGAACGTCCGCTACAACCACTCTCACGACCAGCTGGTCCTCACTGGCAGCAGTGACAGCAGAGTCATCCTTTCCAACATGGTGTCCATCTCGTCGGAGCCCTTTGGCCACTTGGTAGATGACGATGACATCAGTGACCAGGAGGACCACCGTTCCGAAGAGAAGTAAGGGCACGCACTGCAGAGGCTCACGCGTCCCGAGCCTTCTTTCCCTGCAGGCCATCTCCCGAGCCAGGCTGTGTATGTAGAATGCTGCAAGGTGTGCGGCTGGGGACCTTCTCCTTGCCCATGGCAGCCATGGGGACCTACAGCTCCAGGTGTGCAGCTGGGGACCTTCTCCTTCCCCACGGCAGCCGTGGGGACCCACAGCTCCAGGTGTGCAGTTAGGGGACGTTCTCCTTCCCCACGGTGGCCGTGAGGACTCACAGTGCCAGGTGTGCCGTTGGGGGCCTTCTTCCCTGCTGCAGCCGTGGGGACCCACAGATCCAGGGGTGCTGTCATTAGCAGCCCAGGCAGCTTAGGTGGCAGGTGGGTTAGGGTTAGTAGATTTCTCTCTATTTGTGTTTGTATTCTTATTGCATGTCATCTATAAGATTTAAAAGACTGTCAGTGGTCTTCAGACTTCAGCATGAATAAAGCAAATGAATGTATCCCGATCCTCATAGCACTCCCTGTCAGAGACGTATCAAACTGGCGTCTTCACTGGCGTGGATTGCAGCACATGGGGCTCAGGTTTTTGGCTGTCAGCTCCCAGGCCCTCCACTGACTGGTAGCCGGGCTGAGACTCCAGGCCACCCTTCCCCGGCTCAAACTCCGGTCCTACGTAGCTTCTGGAGACTCTGCAGAATGTGGTCAGCCATGATGTGTGTTCTCTAGTGACACCATCATGGTTCTGGATTTTCCCAAAGCTTTTCCCTGTGCGCTTTGATTTCCAATCCTAGTTGAGGTGGGAGATTGCTAAGGGCACCTTCTTCACTCCCGCATCTGGTCAGCGGTGCCGTGCCGGGGCCCCATGACCTTGAGTGTCCACCTTTACAAGCAGCAGCTGCTTCCTGCGGGCTGACCAGGTGCGATTCCGATGCAGCCGTGGAGATTTCATGCCCCACGTTCCAGAGGAAGGAGGTTCTGGAATAAAACCCAGTGGAGTTGGACGGTTGGCGCCCACAGATCTGATGGGGTCTGTCACTCTGTTTTGGGGTCCTTTGCACTGTTTTTGGCTGAATTCTTCCCCTGCCCACTTGAACTTGCTTGGCACTCCTCCGTGAGAAGTCCTCTGTCTTCGGCCCTTGTCTGCGCTGGCAGTCGGCACCTCTGTCTGTCTCTTGACTCCTTGTTTGGTTTTGTTTCTGAGACAGGGTCTCACTCTGTCACCCAAGCTGCTGGAAGCGCTCACTGCAGCCTTGACTTCCTGAGCTCTCGTGATCCTCTCACCTCAGCCTCCCAAGTAGCTGGGACAGCAAGTGCACACCACCGTGTCTGGCGAATTTATTGTATTTTCATTGTTTGTAGAGACAGAGTTTTGCCATATTGCCCAAGCTTATCTCAAGCTCCTGAGCTTAAGCGATCTGCCCACTTCAACCTCCCAAAGTGCTAGGATTGCAAGCGTGAGCCCGACTCTGCCGTTTTTCTGTTCAGTGATTAGAAACTGAGTCCACCATAGAATGGTTTTGAAGCACTCGCACGGTGGCATCTGCCCAGTGGTCTCCTGGTGCCTGTGGGCCTGGCCTTCTTTACCGTCTTCTCTGTCATGCCCAGGGAGACCTGCGCCTCCTTGCCGCGCCTGTCCCTGTTAGGGGCGGAGCCTGAGGGCCCTCGGTCAGAAGACTGTGATGGATGCCGGGTTGTCCTCCGGGCACTGGTGTCATGGGAGCATGATAGGAAGGAAGGAGGTGATCAGGGCTTCGGGAAGGTCTTGGGACATCCCTCAGCCCTGGTGTCCTGCTGCGTTCAGGAAACTATTACTCCCCCTAAGGATGTTCACCTGGCGTTCGTCACATCAGCTGACCACCGGCAGGTTCACTTCCTGGGAAACCAACTTCCCCAGAGGGCGGGCGAGTTCTGGAGGTTCACCTTGCTGAGGGGGGAAGCATTTTCCTACAAAGAAATGCAGAAGCAGTTAGAATGAGGTGCACAGATTCAGTGGGAATTTTTTGTGAAATGGGAAGGAAAGTGCGAGGATTCCCTGGTCAGGACTCCCAGTGAGGACTCAGTCAAGGGAGGCGAGGTGGGAAAACACCCTGGGTAGGGCCAGGCAGGCCACGCCCCTGCTGTCCCCACTGGGCCAGCGCGTCTTCCTCGTGGTGCCCTGGGGGGGGTGTCCTCAGCCCAGCCCCACCCCCATGCTAGCAGAGGCCCTGGCGCCCCAGCCTCCTACTCCTACACAGCCAGCGCCTGGACCTGCTGCTTCCCAGGGTCCTTTCTGCTCAAGCAGTGGGGGTTTTTACATCCTGTGTTACCCAGACAAGGTGACCACTTCCCCCTGAGTAAAGGAAGCCCTTGGAAGGCCTCTGAGAGGATATTACCCCAGGCCCTGCCGGCCAAGGACAGAAGACACCAAGACACCACATGCTGCTCACGCTGATTTCCATAAACCGTGTGATAAATGCCTGCTCCGCACAGCGACAGTGAGGGTATCTGGGCTTCTGCAGGGACCACCCCACTGTCCTCAGTGTGGGCTCCTCTAACTTTTCCCATCATACAGCAGAGAAAGCTGAGACCTGGGGACCTCGTGTGTCCCCAGTAGGAACACTCGCATCCTCCCTGCGCCTCTCCCGCCAACCCCTCCGGAGCCGTCACACTCACGTCTGTCTCTGTTGCGTTCTAGGAGTAAGGAGCCCCTGCAGGACAACGTCATCGCCACCTACGAGGAGCACGAGGACAGCGTCTACGCCGTGGACTGGTCCTCGGCTGACCCATGGCTGTTTGCCTCCCTGAGCTATGACGGGAGGCTGGTTATCAACAGGGTCCCCAGGGCCCTGAAGTACCACATCCTGCTGTAACTCGAGGCTCTGGGTTATAGAGGTTCCACTGCGTGGTTATCCTGGTGGCAGATTCCCACATAGTCGCAGCTCTGCGGAGGTGATTGGTCTTCCAGGTGACTTCCTCTCTGGGATAGCCGTGTGGCCTTCCTCCAGCTGCAGCGTTTATGAGTGGGGTGGTTGGGCTGCTGTCCGTGGCACAGCCTGTGAGGAGCCTGTGAGGAGCCTGTGAGCGTGGGGTCCCCAAACACTGGAGGTGGAGCCCCATGTTGTTATGTGAATAACACGTTTTCTGTTTAAGGGGTGTTGGGAGTTTCTCTTTTTAAAAAAAGTCTTTTCCTGTAAGAGTAACTCTTTCTCTTGAGAGTAAAACATGAACTAAGTCCACGCTGCACGGATGCCTGGCTCGTTCTTTTGGGAGCTCTGCCTTGTGACAGCATCTCCTGGGTCTTGGTCCATATTCTCTCTCCTGACGCAGGAAGATGCAGATTGTCAGAGGTGCACTTTCCATACCACCCTGGCATGGCACTCTGGCGGTGCAGGCTGCGGCAGCGGTGGGCACCCGGCGCATGTCCTGGGCTGAGCTGCCGAGACGCGTTTCCACAGCTGTAGACACAGGCTCTGCTCTTTCGGGCCTCCCTGGCCTCCCCTGGTCTCTGAGCCCTTCCTGTGCTGTGTGCTGCCCACCGTGGCTGCTGGCCTTGGAGGTGCTGTCCCCCCTCACCGGGGAGCTTGGGGGGGGGCTCCTGCGTCTCGGTTTTTGGGGACCCCACGCTCACAGGCTCCTACACTCAGGCGCCCCACCTGAGGAATCCTCAAACACTCACGTCTCAGCCTCTGTCTGTGTTCGCTCGGATGCGCGGGGTCTGTTCTGTACATCTGGTGAGTGTTCCCACTGGAGAAGCCACCTGGGCCCTGGACTCTGGGCTCCGCCTCCTCTAGGCCTCCACCTGGCCAGGTGTCCCTGTGAGGACCACATCTGCCCTCTGCTGCCGCGATCACCTCGTCCGTAATGATGGGAGGGGCGGGCTGAGCACACAGGCCCCAGTCAGCTCTGGGGTTTGACGATCCTGGGACAGGTCTCGCTTGACCTGCGATAAGGAAACGTTCCTGCTGCAACACCCCCTCTGGCAGCGTGTGCTTTGCTGCTAAGGACACTGTGTACCCAGAGGGCCACATCCCCGATTTTCTTTTCATAGATGAGGGTTCACAGGAAGTGGAGGCCGTGGGGAGGGGTGAATAGGTGAGGTCCTGGGGGAGAGGTGGATGGGTGTGGAGGGGGGGTCCACGGATGGGGGCTGTAGGGAGGGGTGCACAGGTGGGTGGGGCTGTGGGGAGGGGTACGCAGGTGGGGCGTGGGGGTGGGCAGGAACAGTCAGGTGTGTTGCAGAGCCTCTAGCATTTTTGCTTCCAGCATTTCTGCACATGTGGGACATGCGTGGCATTCTGATTTCAGTCCTCCCTTCAGTTGCTATCAATTGAAAGAAAACGTATATGTTTAATAAACATAAATTGAGTGCCTACTTTTAGATGCTGCAGTTGCTGCAGCCCCAGCGGTGATTAGGGCAAGTCTCAGCTTCCCTGGAGTGAGTGCTCCTGTGGGCCGTCCGGTGACATGGGGACAGAGGCCACAGAGGAGGGGCCAAGGAGTGCTGTGGGAGCACGGCTCTCTGAGAAGGCGATGTGTGAGCCAAGGCCCAGGGTTGGAGCAGGGTGGTCCTGGGTGTGTGGATCAGGTGGGAAGGCGCTGGGCTCACGTGGGAAGGAGGCAGGAGGCCCAGCCGTGGGGACCTGGAGGCCTGCCGTTTTGAGATGGAAGCAACTGAGCAGGTGGAGTCGTGTGTGGATGGTTTACTGCTTCTGACTGGTTCTGTTTATTTTTCTCTTCAGTTCTCTGTACTGTGGTCAGGGCACAGAACAGTTCACCCCCAAAACTCCCTGCTGCCCTGTGTGGTCCCCCCACCCCCCGGTTGCTTGATCTGGTCACGAGCAGGAGACGGGCAGCTTGCAGGCCCGCGGCGCCTCCGAGGGGCTCCTTCCTCATGGTGTGTTAGCGCCCGCTGCAGGGTTGCCCGCCTTGCCATCCGCTCAGCACTGAAGGGCGCTCGTGTTGCCTCCACGGCTTGGCGGTGGTGCCTGGGTGGAAAACCTGTGTGCAGGTGTTTGTGTAAACGTAAGTGTGACTTTCTGGGGCTGGTGTTGGCAAACAGCCTCAGCCACATCTATCCACCCCCCCACCCCGCACACTGACGGGGTGCGTCTGGCGGGACAAGGGCAGAGAGGAACAGGGGCGGTGACTGTGGCCCTCAAAGTCTAAAATGTCCACTTTCAGATCCTTTCTAGAAAAGGCTTGCTGACCCTGCCTCAGGGTAAAGGCACGAGTGCCGACTGGTGCAGTGAGTGTGTCAGTTTAACTCATGAGAAGCCAGCCGCCCGAGTGTGCGGTGGCCACGCTGTTTCACACGCACAATGCACGCACGCTGGCGGCACCGATGACCCCCCCGCCCTGACCCTCCACAGCCGGGGCTCTTGCCTTCCCTCAGTGGGCGTCACAGCCCTGTGCTGTGTGAACCTCACTTTCCTAACAGCTGACGGAGCTGAGCTGCGTAACCTCTTTGATGAAGCTGATTTTTTACATTAAATTGATTGTGAATTAGTTATGTATTTAATTACTATTAATTTTGAGAGCTCTGTGTATATTTGGGATGTAAGTCCTTTGTCAGCTACATGATTTGCGGATTTCTTCTCCATGGCTTTTAATCTCATCTTTTCAATCTCTGAACAGCATGTTTTACTGAATTTCTGTGAAGTCCAGCTCAGTGCCTCCTGTTTTTTTCTTTATGATTCAACCTTTTGGTGTCATATCTAAGAGCACTGTCCCACCCCAGGCCACTCAGATTTTCTCCAATGTTTTCTTCTAAAAATTCTACATTTTTCATTTGGACCTATGGCTCCTTCAGGGTTAATTTTTCAAATAAGGTGTGAGATTCAGGTTGCTGTTTCTTGTCATATAGAGATCCAAGTATTTCCATGTCACTTGTTGAAAAGACTGTCATTCCTGCCATCAAATTCCTTTTGCTCCTTTGTCAGAAATCAGTCGGCCCCGATACAGTTTGACTGTGTCCCCACCCAAATCTCATCTGGAACCGTAACTCCTACCATTCCTTCATGCCCTGGGAGGAACCTAGTGGGAGGTGATTGAATTATGGGAGCGGGTCTCGTGACAGTGAATGAGTCTGATGGTTTAATACGGGGAAACCTGTTTCACTGATCCTCATTCTCTCTGTTGCTGTTGTACCTGCTGGGGCAGCCCTCCAGGAGCCACGTGTGGCATCGGCCGGGTTTATACCTTCATTCAGCGAGGGTTGAGGTGGAGAGTGCTTGCCTTGTCCCGCCGGGGGCCAGAACTCTCTGTGGTCCCAGTTTAGAAGGTGCTGCTGCATTGAGGGTCGACCTAGCGTGGAACTGTCAGACATGCTGGTAACGGAGACCATCTCAGAGATAGCAGAGAGGCCGAGAGGTGGCAGAGCCTCTGAGAGGTGATTTCTAGATGTATTTTTCAGGAGGAACCATAGGTTTCCCAAATGAGGATTCAGTGTGAGGCAAAGAGCAGGACCAGGGGTGACAGTGACCCAATCTGTCCAGCCTACGTGGCTCAATGGCTTGCTGACACAGGACAGGCAGGTGGAGGTGGGTGTGGGTAGTGGGGACAAGCTTGGTTGGGGCTGTTTGAGACACTTAGTGAATATTCAAGCGGCAATGTGGCATATATTGTGGGTGATACGAGGTCAGGGGAGAGGCCCAGGCCGGAGGCGTAATCTGCAGTCTTGTTCATTGCACGGGTGGCCTCTAACGCAAGGCCCCCAGGAGACCATAGGGAAGTCTCCTAGAGAAGACAACAGGTGAGCCCTGGGGCGAGGAATCTTCAGAGGAGGCGAAAGTCTGGAGATAGGAGGGCACAGGGCATGCGGTATCCAGGAGCCAAGCATGGGAGTTTCTCGGAGAAGGACTGAGGCCTCAGCGCTGCAGATGGGGCGTCAGATGTTGGGGAGAATGAGCTGGAGACAGACAGGCACGGAGGCGTGGATGGCCCTGGGGAGGCGCCCAGGCAGCCTGTGGGTGGCAGGAGCAGCTCAGGACGAGCGCGGTGGGCAGACAGGAGCTGGAGGGGCTGTATAAAGGAAACAGAGCAGGAGGAGTCGCCCCCCGGACGTGTGGCCACAAGAGGATTTCTCTCTCTCTCTCTTTTTAAAATTGAGATGGAGTCTTGCTCTGTTGCCCAGGCTGGAGTACAGTGGTGCAATCTCAGCTCACTGCAACCTTCACCTCCTGGGTTCAAGCCATTCTCCTGCCTCAGTCTCCTGAATAGCTGGCATGACAGTCATGAGCCACCATTCCCAGCTAGTTTTTGCATTTTTAGTAGAGACGGGGTTTCACCATGTTGGCCAGGCTGGTCTCAAACTCCTGACCTTAAGTGATCCACCCACCTTGGCCTCCCAAAGTATTGAGCCACCGCGCCTAGCTGAGGCTCTCTCTCTTTAAGAAGGAGAAATATCTGTATTTCTGAATGTGGATAGACTAGTCCAGTGCAGAAGCAGAGGGGAGAAGGGAGGTCCTGAAACAGGAAGGCGAGGGTGCAATCTGGCAAACAACTCCAGATGAACAGGGCGGAGGGTTCGTTACAGAAAGCGAGTGAGCCCCGGGACAGCGTCCTGGGGGGGACCCAGTGCCACCATCCATGTAGCTGTGGTGGGGGTCAGCAACAGCACTTCTATTTGTAAAACATACACGACAACTTTCAAATACAGGACGTGGTTTTATCTTAAGGACCCCTTGTAAACAGAGCAAGCATCCCCCGTCTGAGGATTTTGAAACAGGCTGGGAGCACCCTGCCCGGCTCTGTCCGCAGTCCAGGGCATAGGGAAGGTACCCTTCCTGCAAGTCTCTTGGGCTCTGCCTCCAGCAGTTCTTACCCAGAGGCAGCTCAGTGACCTCTAGGTGGCTGGCTGGGCAGCTGGAACAGGATGCAGCCACGTGGAGGAGACTCTGGGGCTCATTACCAGCATCCTCAGGTGCCCAGGCCATTTTCAGAGCTAAGCCTGCAGGCCTGTGTGGGGTGGTAGAAGGGGTGGCACTGGGCCGCCTCCTGCATGCATGATGTTCTTCCCTCCATTAGGCAGAAGCCGCATTGCAGGTGACACGGGTTTACACAAGGATCTTTTTTACCAGGATCTGGGGAGCAGGAACATGGGAAAAGAAGTTGCCTCAACCATCCTCCCAGCGCCCCTGCTCAGCGTCAGGTGCTGTGCTGTGTCAGCTGTGGCTGTGGACTCCAGGTTCAGTGCCAGGAAAGATGAATGTCACTGTGCTGTGGCTGGCCCGGGCCT